CACTGAGTGGTCTGCTGGCCTAACTGCAGTTTACCAGATTCAACAGAAAATGGACAGTTTTCTCAATCATAACTAGTCCAAGTGATGCTCAATCTGGAGGAAACAAGTGGGGGTGGAAAGGGCACAGAATGTACCCTGCAGAGGGGACTTTCAATGTCCATCACCAAGAGTGGCTTGGTAGCACCACTATTGACTGAGCTGGCAAGTGCTAAAGGACACGGGTACTATACTGGATCTGTGGCAAGCAGTGAGGAACCAATAGGTGGGAAAAGTCTACTTGACCTTGTCATCACCAATGTACCTGTCATGGATGTGTTCATCTAGGGCAGCATACACAGTGGAGAAAAAGTCCCATCTTTCTATAGAGATACCCTCCATAGTATGTGGCAGTGCCACTATAATAAATGCAAAGGGGTTGGCCAGATCCAGTAACTCAAAACTGGGTATCCATTAGGCACTACAAACCATAAGTAGCAGCAGAATTGCATTTAACTACAACCTGTAATGCCGTTGCCTGATACATTCCCACTGTGTGAAATCAACCTTGGTTCAATGAAGTGTACAGGAGGGCAGACCATGAGCAGCACCAGACATACCTAACAATGAGGTGTAAACCTGGTGAGGCTACAACACTGGATTACCTGCACACCAAATTACAGAATCAGCATGCAGAAGGCAGGGTTTAAATGATCGTACAACCAATGGATCAAATCTAAGCTTAAGCAGGTCTACTGCATCCAGTCGTGAAATGTGGTAGACAATTAAACAACTGACAGGAGATGGAGCCTTCACATATATCCCCATGTTCAATGATGGCTGACCCCAGCAAATCAATGTAGAAGACAAGGCTGCACTCAACATGATATTGAGAAATGTGTGAAGGCACTGGATACTGCAAAGATATGGGCCTTGATTCCAATAGTATTGGAGACTTGTGCTCCGGAACTAGCTTACCCCTATCAAAGCAGTTCCGTTGCAGATACAATGCTAACAATTATGCTATAATATGAAAAATTGCACAGGCATGTCCTCTCCATAGAAGGCAGGACCAACTTGGTTGATTTCTGCCCTGTATCAGTCTACTGTCAACCTTCTCAGCTCCAACAGCCTTGGTCCAAACATGGACTAAAGAGCTGAATTCCAGGGGTAAGGTCAGAGCAACTGCCCTTGATTTCAAGGCAGCGCTTGACCAAATATGGTCTCCAGGAGCCTAAAAAAATGGAGTCAATGGGAATTATGCATGTGTGCATTTGTATCCTTCATAGCACGAAGACAGGCCTAGGGTGCTGCCCTGAAGGAGCTTCTGCAGTGACATAATGGGGCTGAGACGCTTGAGCTCCCACAATCACAACCATCAGCTATGTCCTCGATGACCATCCCTCCATCATAAGGTCAGAAGTGGGGATGTTCACTGATGATTGCACAGTGTTCAGCACCATTCATGATGCCATAAATGCTGAAACAGTCTGTGTCCAGATGCAGCAAGGTCTGGATAATGTCTGGGCATGGGCTGATGAGTGGCAAGTAACATTTTTACCACCAAGTGCCAGGCAATAGCCATCTCCAACATGACAGAATCAAACCATTTTCAGTTGAGATTCAATGGAATTACTTTCACAGAATCTCCCATTATCAACATCCTGGCAGTTACCATTTACAGAAACTGAACCGAACTCTCATACTATGGCTACAAGAGCGGATCAGAAGCTATCAGTTCTGTAATGAGTTACTTACCTGCTGACTTGAGTGTGATACAATACTATTTACATGCCAGGATGACTGCAATTACAACAACATTCCTGTTTGATACTATCCAGGGCAAAACATTGATTGGCACGCTATTCACCATCTTCAATTTTCTTCACCTTAAACACACACTAGTAGCAACTGTGTGTGTACCATCTGCAAAATGAAGTGCAGTACCTCACTAAAGCTCCTCCAACTACACATTCCAAAACACGTGACGTCAACCACCTAGATGGTCAATGACAGATGCATGGGAATACCACCATATGCAAGTTCCCCTTCGAGCTACATGTGATCCTGACTTGGGAATATATCACCATTTCTTCACTGTCACTGGGTCAAATTCCAGGAATTCCTTTCTGAACAGCTCTGTAGATGTCCCTACAGTCCAAAGACAAGTGCTTCAAGGCAGCTCGTTCCCCATCCCTAATTGACCTGAAGAAGATAGTAATAAATACTGGCCAAGTAGTTACATCCACATCCCATGAATGAATATTGTTTAAAAATTCATAATATCTTTGCAAAGTTTCACATATGAATGTCAGATGGTGGCCATTGACCCAGTTCACCTCTTGAAACTGAGTTAGAGCTTATTCCAGACACAGTGGTGGTATAAAATTTCCCTGAATTCAGTGTTGTTTTGTCCAGTCCCTTTCATTCTAATTTTCAGGGTGGCCTATGTGCAAATGAAAGTGTCACAGTGATACAGTTGGAGGTGCTCACCCAAGGTTGGGACTAAAACACATGGTATTTTCAATGTTTGAATCTGACCCTGGATGTAGTGGTCCATTCCTTGGCAATAAGGAATTCAAAAAGGAAAAAGGAATTCATCCCTGCTGCAATTTAATATTGGGGCAAGAGCAAAAGGAGAGGTAAGAGCAGCAATGGCTTGACCTTAAGCAAGGCCTCATTATTGGGCAAATTTACTGCCACTTAATTTTGTTAGTGATCCTTACTTACACTGCAGAGGAAGTAAAGAAATATGGAAGAGGACATGTACTTCCAGTCACTATGTAAGTAACAGGGTTTATTCTGATTTTGGTTCAAATAAGTAGTGTTTCAAGAGCTGCACACATCAAAAAGCGCCCACATGGCACATCGCTGCTATACAAATCTCCATCCTAGCGCAACATCAAAAACACCACAATTGAATTCCTATTTCAGTCAAGTTGTCTGGTGAAGAATTCTGTTCATGTCATAACAGATTAACTACACAGAACACTCACCATTGATCACCATATTGAATTCTACAATAAAAAAAGGACAGACTATAGAGTGCGAAGTTCTACCACTAATCTCACAGTATGTATGTTTTTTTTTAAAAGATGACTGAGTATTGATGACCAGCTAGCAATTACATCTTATTGTTGCAATATCTCCTCCATGTTAGCAGTCAACCTGCTATGATTCATAACATCATGTTTTGAGTAAGCATGAGACAGATAATGTAAAAACACAGAAGAACCTAGTTATCGGCTTACTGTAACAACAGTGGCTTAACTGTTTACAGTCAATAGCTTTTCACGTTTCTCTAGCATTCATATCCTTTGAGGAGCTGTTGAAATCCTTGATACTTTATAAAAATTTTACCTATTTTAGAGTTGCAAGTTATAGACCAGACCCCAGTATATCTGTTCCCAAATTCTTTGAAGGCTGTCTATTCATGTAAATGATTGTAATTATTCACTGCAAAGCTGTTTCCCTCAGATGAGCCATCCTGACATAACTATCCCAACTTTTGAAGAATGGGTTTTGCCAACTGACTATTTTCTATATTAGAGCTAAAAGATACGATGTTTATTACCCAAGTCCCAAAGGTTACATTTTTATCACTCGTATTATTGTCAGTGTCATTTAATTCTTTACACAGATATTTATATAGATTACAAGTTATCCATTCCTTTCAGGATGACTCAAAGCTATCCTGTTTAAATTGGAAAGCCTATTGCTTCATGTTATGAAGAAGTTCAACTGCTAATCCCCAACATCCCAAGATATTAAAAGCATGGATCCCTCTAGGTGTCGAACAGTTCACATCACTGTAGTGATGTATAAAGTGATTGCACCCTCCAGATCAGAAGAATCCCTTATGATCATCCCTTGTTTTCTAATATTCAGTCTACCAGTAATGTTCACTGAAATGCTGGGGCACATTTAGAACTCTGCAACATTTGTAGCGCAGATTATTGTTAACTATCCTTTGTTTTTCACAGCATTCAACATTGAATGAGCTATGCAGTATAATGTCAACATCTCACTTTTTAATTTATAAGTCATCATTATTGTACTATACTTTCGTGAATATCTGTTTCTGATGAAGCAGCATCTTTTCAAAGTCATTTCCTGATTTGATAACCTGTATTTACTACCCAAATGGTTCTGTGTACCACAATAATAACTCTACAGTTTTTCTCAAAATGTCTCACTTTCTGTTATGAAGCTTTGTTGGATACATTTTGTACCGCATTAGTAAGGTAAACAGTTGGATGTGCAGTGGATGATAGCACTGAGCTCTTGTTTTGACCATAGCATTGTAAAGGATTTCATCATAAAGTTAATTTGTCCCAAATTTGCCAGTTTCCTGATATAGCAAACTGAAGCCAATATTAGTGTTGTACCCTTGGCCAGTTAATATAGCCTTGTGTCCACAAATATAGCCTTCCAATGAGGGTTAGTCTGTAGTGGCCAAGAGCAGATGCCCTGTCTAAGCCTATTTAAAGTACCCAACTGTGCACTTGAGATAAATTGAGATCAGCTCATTCTATAATTAACCTCCTTACCACTGAGCACCCAAGGAATAATGCTGTTTACATAGCTAAAGGAAAATAAATGGGAGATTGAATAGCAAAGTATAAAAAATGATTTCTGAAACTCTGCTCTAAAGCAAATATTACAAAAAAGCTAATATTATGATTTGTTTTGTTTTGTAAGGCAGGTTTTTTGTTCTTTATGAATGTAATTTTAATTGAAAATACATTTTCCAAATATACATGTTTCAAATAAAATGTATGAAGAAACTGTAAATCCAGTGACAAAATAAACCTTCTGTTTTCCAGGAAATAAAATTAGTAAAGGGCTAAAATTGTTCAGCATTTGATTGATTGATTAACTTTGACAAGCTTCCCTGTTCAGAATTTTGTGGAATGCATGCACTTAACCCAAGTTATTTTATATCCTCAACTATGTAGACACTTGTGCACTGTCCCTAATAGCCATGCATTCTATCTCTCATTGCTTTTTTTTTTCCCTTTCAGGTGACTGACCATGCTACTACAGCATTGCTGCATTACCAGCTGCCTCAAATGCCAGATGTGGTTGTCAGGTCTTTCATGGTGAGTGCATAATCAGAAATGAACTGCAAATCTCTGAGTTTCCATGCACGTTTTAAAGTGATTCCCTTAGTTAGGTGAAAACAGCAAATATTGAAAGGTTTTTGCACCTAATGGATCCAATTGTAGACTGATTTATATATCCTGCAATTTAATACCTGACTTCAGCTGACAACTTGTAAGTTCAAGTTCCATGAGAGTTTGAGCTTTGTTTTATACCTCCCATGTAAATTACAGGACAATCACTGTAAGGTGACGTGGAAAGACAGAGAGATCACTACTACGAGACTTCCCTTGCTAATATTTGGACTGACATTGTATGGATTGCTGGTTGATCATAGCAAGTTTAACAATTTTCATCAAGAAACAACAATCAAAACCACCTTGCTCTCCCAACACAAGGGAATCCATGTAACGAGCAGGTCTAAAAGCTAAATAAAGAAAATAGTGATGGTTGTGAGAGGATTCTGTACAAAACTAAATACTGTTCTGTATTAACTAATAAAATGCATTACATTTGAGCTTTTTCTGAAAACTATCAATGCCACATTCCAATTGAATAGTTCATAGGAGAGAAGAAACTTGTCTCGTGTATGATCACTGGCTTTGTGCAGCTACATTTTTGAGCAGTAGCAAAACTGTTTATCTAATTGCTGACCTATTCTTGACTATGTGAAATGTTAGTACTTAATGATTTGACTCGGGAGAAAAATGAAAAAATGATATTATTCCAAAAGTCAAATGTTCAGAGTCAAAATAACTTTGAGGAATTGGATGCTTCAGTCAAAACTGAGAATTTCTAAATTGATCAGGAACCTTTCATCTTTTGAATTTATTGAATTAGCGGATAATTTCCAATTTGAGTCAAATCCATGTTACCTCATTGCAGATGAGATAACTGCAGGGATATTATTCTGTATACACTAATAGTGTCTCACCAGGAGCATCATTTCTGATTTGAATCCAACTGAGCAAAGCAACTGCTTACAAGTCTCAAATTATCTAACGGTGTTCTTGCTGAACCATATGCCTAATTGAACCCACTGTGCCAGGTCACACATTTGAAGGATCAAGTGTCTCACCAATTACCAAAATTAAAATTTGTCTTCTCCTTGGACCACCCAGTCTTCCAGCCCACAATAGCTTGCCTCCTCTGAAGGGGAAGTAGTGTGAAATCTATATGTTGCTTTGCCAAACTGCTTGGAACATGGTAGCTGAATGCATATTCAGATGCAGAGAAAGTGATCTTATTTAGAAACAAAGGAAAATAATTTTCAACACATTATCCTTGACTTATTAATTCTGAAACTTCAGGTGTGTTTAGTGGTGAACTTTCTTTTTAAAAGAAAAATAGAATTAAAATTTTGTAACGACTACCTGATTTGCAATATTATGTGTTGGGGGGAGAGGGGGACAACAGACCAGCTACTTCCCTGTTTTTGACTTGCATGTAACTATTACAGTTGAGTGACTATGGGTTAATGCTGGGTTTAATTTTGATTTATCTTGAAAGGTAATTTGCCTCATGCTGTTTTCATTTCGGTAGTATATACTTAATAATAATCTGATCTGCAAAATTAAAATACAGTAATTCAGATTGCTCATTCACCAATAGGATCCCCAAAGGCTTTACTGAAACTTAATGTTTTACTAACATCTTGTTTCAGAAGGATATGCAAGTTATTAATGGTTTTTTTCATATTGTAACTGACGTGGCTGGAGTCCCACAGATGGAACAACTAATTAAAGATAGCTTTATAAGCAATAAACAGTCCAGAGATTTGAATTTGCATAGGATTTGTATATTTTAGCTGCGATAACTTTGTAAGTGTGTTCTCACCAAAATTAAATGCCAAGCCAAACCATATTTCCTACTTTTCATCAATATTGACATTAGTCAGTGGCTAGTAAAATACGGTACAAAACTCAGATTGAGAATTTCTGCACCTTAATGGCACAGGACTCAATCCACCAACACTCTCAATACACTCTAAATATGGGTTGTGGTTTTCTCGCCATTTGCTTAGTCGGTCAGGGGAAATGCAATGTTTGCTGGAATGTCTGCACTGTCAGCATTCATACGCAATATTCAGTCTTTAAAGGACTACTACATGGTATACAGCAACTAAACATTCAAGGTGCAAAAACCCAAAATGGTCAGTCAACTGTAGCTGACCATGGAAGCTAAGGATTGTATGTGAATAAAAGAAAAGGCTTTTAAAGTGAATAGAAATAGTAATAAATCAGAAGATTGGGAAGTTATTTTTAGAATACAGCAATGGAAGACAATGAAACTGATAAGGAGAAGAAGCATAGAATATGAATGCAGTCAAGCAAAATAAAAATCTGGACAGTACAACATATACAAAAAATGAGATATTGCTAAGACAAATATGGATCCAATGAAAGCAGTCAGGAGGATTTATAATGGGGAAAGAGAAATGGCAATGAAGCTTAATAATTAATTTGTGTCTATTTTTACTGAGGAAGATACAAGAAATCACCCAAAATTAGAAATCCAAATGACTGGGGAAAGTGAGGAGCTGAAGGAAGTTAGTATTACTAAGGAGGTTGTACAGGAAAAATTGCTGGCTAGAAGTTAAATTCCTGGGACCTGATAGTTTACATTTCAGAGTGTTGAAGTAGGTGCCTATAGAGATATTCAATGCATTGATAATCATCTTCCAAATTTCCATAGATTCTAGAATGATTCCTAGAGATTGGAAGCTTGCCAATGTCACTCCTTTTTTTAAGAAAAGAGCAGAGTGAGAAAAACAGGGAGCTACAGACCGCATCAGTCCTGCACCGATAGTAGGGAAAATACTAGATTCTATCATAAAGGATGTGATAAATGGGCACATGGGTAAAAGTGGTCTGAGTGAAAATAGTCACATGAATTTGCAAATTGGAAATCATGATTTAACAAACTTAGTGGGTTTTTTTTGGAGTTTGTCACTGTCAAACTTGATAAAGGAGAGTCAGTGAATGTAGTATACTTGGATTTTTAGAAGGCTTTTGATAAAGTTGGTTCACAAAGTTAAAGCATGTGGTATGGCATGGAGGTAATGTATTGGCAGGGATTCAGAATTGGCTAACAGACAGAAAACAGAGAATAGGAATAGATGGATTCTTGGGAGACTGACTGGTGTACCGCATGGATCAGTAGTTGGGCCACAATTGTTGTTATGTATCAATGATTTGGATGTTCTGAATTGAATTTAATGGAGTAGGCTGAAAGGTCTACTCTATTCCAATCTTCCTATTTATCCTCTTGGAACTAGGCATTTTTATTTTCTTTATTTTAGTGAAGAAACTCTGTATCCTAACATCTTATTAATGGTCTTCCTGTGTAAGTCAACAAATGTACAAGATAAGTAAAATATGTAATTGTCACTAAGACTTCAGCAAAATAATTTACAGTTGCTTTGAAATCGCTTCTTTAATTACGGGTAAAGGCTTCTCATTTTCCTATTTTGTGTGCAGTTATAAGAAACATAGTTGGGCTTGTAGTTCAGTTCCGCCTCTGATGTTTCATGTTGCCTTTTCTAATGCAAGGTAGGATGTGTGCTACGCAATAGTAAAGTCCCAATGTTTCAAATGGCATGTTCCAGCCCAGTCCTGGAACCTTTTATAACTGCTGCATTTTATTTGGTGGAACAGGTGTTCTACAAGTAGAAGCAAGAAATACATTGTCCACCAGTCTGTTAATTCTCTATGCTAATTGATGAAACAAGAGATGGAGCAACACCTTGGCATTGTTCAGTTATCAATCTACATAAATCCAGTAACTGACTTCCTATCATCAGATACCAAGTTTCTTTGAAGCGATTGGTATCTTGAGCATGTTTCCATAGAAGTCCAGCAGCAAGTAGTCATTGCTAATGTGTGACCTGTGACAGTAAACATTGGCAGTCTCTTGGACTAGAGAGTGAATTGGACTGAATTTAATCCTATCCTCATTCAAAATCTAACAAAGACTTCTGTGTAATGATCAATCTGCTTTCCTCCTGTAAAAGCCAAGAGCCAGGCACTCAAAATTCCACCCTCAATTAAAATTGCCTTCCTCTTCCAGAAGGTTGAGATACTGGGCTTCTGGAGGGAACAATGACAACGTGAATTTTCAATCCTCGTGCAAGTGTTTTCCGGCATATCATGTTGTATTGCTTACGAAATGTTTTCCCGATGTGGCACAATTTTTGAGGCTTGAAAATTGTCAGGCTTTGCAACTTTGTGACCCCAAAATTTCAGCTCTCAAACCCTCTTGGGTCTCAACCGCCACTTTGGAAAACCCCGTCCAGTTTGTTACTTTCTTCACACATTGAGTTCAGTGTGCTGAATGTTCTTTTTCCCTAGCCTTTTGAACAGCTAATGCAAGCTTTATTAATTTGATAAAAACCGAAAGAACTGCGGATGCTGTAAATCATGAACAAAACTCACGTCTCATCACCAGCCTACTTGCTTTCACAGTTCTGAGGAAAGGTCACCAGACCCAAAACGTTAACTCTTTTTCCTTCACAGATGCTGCCGTACCTGCTAAGCTTTTCCAGCAACTTTGTTTCTGTTCCTTATGAGATGTGGACTTTTCAGCTTAGTCTTTCATTTCCAAATATAACTAACGAAGGTGCTTGGAATATTCTAATTATAACCTTTCAAATAATTTGTTTTTCCCGTTTCATATGTTTTTTAAAAAATTATTCCTGGTGTGTCTAAACTTGACAAAGATATAAAATTAAATGGGGCGCAACAGTTTGTGAGATGTTAGACTTGTTTCAAATTACCTTTTAATTGAACTGGATCTTCTTTTTGAAGGAAACATTGAAACAAAATTGATCCATTTAAGATTAGAAAAGGAAAATATTGCTAGAGGTATTAAACTTGTGTCTCATTTATTTTTTGCCTCTCCAGACATGGTTGCGAAGTTACATTAAATTATTCCAGGCAACATGTCAGCGCTGTGGAAAGTTTCTTCAGGATGGACTGCCTCCCACGTGGAGAGATTTCCGAACGCTCGAGGCCTTTCATGATACTTGCAGACAGTAATGCTTAACTCGCTGTCTAGAAACTGAGAATCGCATTTGGATAGAGTGATGTGTACAACAAAGTGCACAGGACTTTGGGTAAATGTGCCTAGCTTAAGGATTTTAACGATTTCCAGCAGAGATGAAGTTCTTCCAAATTCTTTGTTTTCAAGCAGAATTATTTTTAGCCAAGTAACTCGGAGATAAAAATAATAGTGCCTTCAGTCTGATAAGTCTGTCGCTGACGTGTTTTTTTTTTTAAGGGAAAAATAAATTGAAAAACACAGTTTCATGTGTGAGTTATAATTTTATATTTAGAATGCATTTTCTGTTTGCTATCCTCCAAAATTATTATTTGTGTTTTTGGAACAAGGCATCTCATTAGTATCATCCATGGCTGTCTTAGTGCAGGTTCTGATCAAATTAATCATTCATTCAGCTGTCCCATTCAAACATCCAGTCATTGTGTGCTTTATAGCAACCATGTTCCTAAGGATTATGTCTTGTCTTTTATTTAGCTTGTTTCTTGTTCTGTTCTTTACCTCGCTATAAATTTTTACGGTATTTTCATCCCACTGACTGAACTAGTCAATAAAATGACCAAAGACATTTGTCAGTTCTGATTCTTAAAACAATAAAGTGTTGCTCTACCAGCTATAAAATCGAAATTCAGATCTCTCAACTTTAACTAACATTCATACTTAAACTTCCCCATCATCACAGCTGGATTACCTGAGGGAGAGAAGGGGGGTCAGGTTCAGTGGCAGGACATTCAAAAATAGACTTCTATTTTTGTTGACTGGGGACATTAATGTTACAGAATTTTTTTTCTCCCAAATTGATCTGCAGACATCTTATCCTTGAAAAGGATACCATTGGTGCATTACAGTGCTTCTAGACTTCTGGACTGGCCTAGAATTCCTCACATGGATGAGTTGAAAATTCTGGGCTAAATTCTGGGGCTGTGATATAAAATAATAGTGAAATGATCCCATAGGAGAGTCTTCAAGATTTAAAATAGAGTTATCATCTAGGAACAATATAATCAAAAATAAGTTTGCACACTAATCCTCAGTTTTTTCCTTAAATCATAAAGTAAATGTTAAATTTGGGCAATGTGTTCTATCTTAGTTTTTAATCTACAATTGTTGCTTTCTCTAATGAACCATTGTGACCACAGAAGTGTTCTTGAATTTTATCACTTGAAAATGACATGGGATAGCAGTGCTTCACACTTCAGCACTATCCTGAAGTGAAACGTTATTTTAATGGTTGCTGTCCTTCTGACAGGCAGACTTGTCACATTCTTTTTCCTGTTATTTCACTTTCCTTGAATGTGAGCTTAGTTTTAACGCTCCTGCACATTATTATGGATAGCTTTGTCACTTTCGCGTGCCTACAATTTGTTTTCTTTTAAGTGGTGGAATGAAACCAAGTGAGTTATCTAGTTTAACAGTTGAGCTCTTGATTGATTCACTTGGGTGAATTTTGTGTGTTTGCTGCCTAGCTGGTGGATAATCCCTGCAAGCAGCAAAATAATCCATTTCACAAAAGGATAAATGGTCTAATCTAACTCCCCATCCTGTCTATTACAACAGATACTGACCAGTTGCACAAAAGAAATTCCAATTACTGAAATCACATTTGGCTTGGTCCTAGCTGAAGTTTTTGTGCCAGTTCAATATGGACTTTTTTTCTTTATTTTGAAGTCAGATTTATCATTGAAATTACTTTAATTTTCCTAGTGATATGTTGTTACGACACAAACAGCCAAATACCTCTGTATTCACAGCACACTAAAATTAAAACCTTCAAATAGCCTCAAAATCGACCCCATTGGTTCCACACCAGATATTCCAGACTCTGCGAATAATCAATTCTGGTCACCTGGGTTTGTAGTATAAGCAAAAAATTTAGCAATTTATTCACAATACATTAACTTTAACGGAACAAAACTAAACAACAAAAATAATCTAATTGCCTGTAGAGCCAATAACCTTTGTTTTCAGCCCTGTTCAAATAAAAGACAGACACGCGAGCACAGTTAAAGAAAATAACAAAACTGACCAGACTACTTTAAGTGGTTTTCACAGTGTGTTGTACCATAGGCATAGATGATAGTTTTTTTTTGGTTGATTTGATGGAAGATTGATTGGAAGATGCCAATCAATGCCACCTTTTCCAGTTCACTCAGAAGTCAGCAATACTTAAACTTAATTTCTATTCTATAAACTTGTGATAATCGGAGGTTAGGAGGGGAGCATTCAAATCTGTATCCTGTAGCATGAACAGCCAAACTCCATCTCACAGAAAACACAGTCCAAAACCCAGTTTAAACTTTGGCCTGTCCCTGTTAGACTGCCCGTCTTGCCATCAGGTCCCAGTTACTATTCAACTCTGCCATCTGCTTGAGCATAAGGACACCCCTAGACTTGTTGGAACCAATTCCCAGTTACTGACTTCATCAATGACCAATCATCTGCTATCTGCTTAAATGTACTGCCCTCCCCTGGTGTTGAAGAGTTTGTAGAATCTTTCAATTAACTGCAATGAACTTCCAGGCCTGGCCTCACAAACAAACAACAGCTATTGGTTCTCCACCTTTGTTAACACAAACTGCTGCCCATAGTCCATAAGTCATTTTCATCTCTCAGTTCTCAACTTACAGTTCAAAACCAAAATTGAATTTTAAAAAACCTAAAAATAATGAAAAATCAGCAAGCTTTCCAACAATATGAAAAATGTGAATTATCACATAGTGAACATGGATATCTTCATTTTTAACATCCTCTATCCTACTGAATAAATGGAATATTAACAATAGTAACATACTGCCAAATGTGTAACAGCAACTGTATCTAACACAAGTATTTTCACTTTGATCAAGAACTAGAGAGGAATGGTGTTGAAATCACATCATTTTATCTTCTTCACAATGGGGGATGTGCCTTCCACAGAAGCAGAAATTTGCAGATTTGGAACCGCAAGTCATGTTATTACATCTCCTGCTGTCTGGCACCTATAGTTTGGAATTCTAGTATCTTGCTACATGTGCAAGTAGGATACAAATTAATGTCCACTTGTTGGAAAGTCAACAATAGCTGGAAAAGAGTGTAAAGTGACCTGGAGGTGGAAATATTAAAAAGTACTGATGATCTTTTATGGTATCTCTAATCCGAACTCTTCAAGTAATCATTGTCCTTGAACAAAAAATGATTCAACTTGTCCTATAAAGTGAGGAGACAAAGCAACAAACATGCAATCTCTGCCAGCAACAAAGACCGAGGCAGCAGGAGCATGTCCAAGTCACACTGTCCTGACTTGCAAGTATTACCATTCCTTCTTCATCACTGGGTCAAAATCCTGGAGCTCTATTTCTAATAGGAATTGCATCATGGATTGCAGCAATTCAAGATGGCAGTTCAGCACCATCTTCTCAATCATTTATGGACAGGCAATAAATGCTGCATTTGCCAGCCATGTGAGTGAATAAGATAAAGAACTGACCTGGCTTGATGTAATTGACAGGCATGTTTCATTTTGTTAATTCTTGAATAAAAGTGTTTTTTATTACAACAGGATTACTTTGACAACACACAGATCTATGAAAAGTAAACATGATTGTTCTTGTTTTGTTGGCATCTTAAGTCTTTCAATCTGTTATTTTTGTCTTCGTTTAGTTCATTCGATTTTAATTTGACTCCTTTAAAAAGCACGTCTGGACTTGTCCTGAATATCTCGACGTCGCTGAGAGAGCTATCCGTTTTATGCATGAATACAAATACCCTGTAATTTGTTTTTTGTTTAATTACTTTATCTTTTTTTAAAAAAGGCATTCATGTCCATTAAAATTTGCTGTATAATGCTGTGGTGCTGTTGGAATCCAACAACTTCAACTTTATGGATCACTGTCAATTTATGTCCTTATGTCCATATGTTGCAAACTTCTTGCTAAAAGGCTGTTGTGAAAACCTTTAGATTTCATTTGCCAAGTGAAAACTGTGCAATGTTTTGTAAATTATCTTGGAAAAAGAAGAGCAAAAACTAAATGTGCGGTAGTTCGATCCTAAGAAATGCACATACTGGGGAGGCTTGGGAATTAATGTTTATAGTGCTGGACTAAACAGAGTGACCACTTTTGGATTACTGTCTCAATGCACTTCTTGATCATAGCAAAGGCAATAGTCCTGACCATAATCCAATTGTCATGCTGCAGATTAATTAAGCTGCTGCTGAATAATTATAAAGTGGAAATTTGCCCAGATGTATTTTTGCCACAAAAGTAGGAGCTGTCAGTAGTGTTATCAGGCAGCACGTGTTTGCCAATAAGCTGTTCACTGATGCTCCATTTGGCTTCCACCAGAGCCACTCAGAACCAACCCTCATTACAGCTTTATTCCAAAATGGGTACATCTAAACTATAGAGATGGACTAAAAATGATTACACTTAACATTGAAATGGGATTTTTGGCCCAATGTGATACTGGCAAAATTTAATCGTGGAAAAATGTTTCTGATATAATTTGCTATGAGGTGAGTAAAATAACTTGTACTTCAGTATGGTAGATCTCCAACTTACCCACTGAATTGTAAAATAATGACAGAAGGAACTGTGGATGCTGGAGATCTGAAACCCACGAAACCAGAAATTGCTGGAGAAACTTAGCAGGTCTGGCAACATCTGCAGAGAGAAAACAGAATTATTGTTTTAGGCCTAACTACCCTTCTTCAGTTCTGGGTCACAGATGCTGCCAGACCTGCTGTGTTTCTCCAGCAATTTCCATTTTTGTAAAATTGCTTAACAACTCTAATGAAATATTATCTGATCTGATCTAAAGCTGTCATCCATACTACGGAGATTCAGAGAAAAGAATTGCAAGGCCACTGTGATAGGCGTGAAATTTTTAATGTTATATTATAACCTTCAGAGTCGTTCAAAACCTTGAAGAGTAAAGTGGAGGTGATAGGTTTCCCTGTTCCCACTTTCAGCAATGTATACCTTCTCTCAAATAAGATTGATTCAGAATCTAAGAACGCTGCTCCACAAGATAATGAAAGATTTACACAAGACAATTTCCGAAACAGCCTTACAATTGCTTTATCACAAACAATAAACACGTTCAAGTAAACAACTATATTCTAGCAATAGAACACATTCAAACTGCATTCCTAATTAAGAATTCCTTCGCATCTGTCCACAGCCAAATGTGAAAATAGAGATTAGTACACTGACATTCAACAAAGTCTAATGCAGAAATTTGTCTGTGTTAATATACAGTTGAACAATCTTAATTGAAAACTGAATCCAAACTAACAATAGACACAAGAAAAGAAAGGCCAGAATAAAATAAACATGCCTAGTATGATCAGCTTTGAACTATTAAATTCAATAAGACCTGACAAATAGCTAGGTGTGATTGGACATTCAAGACTTTTTTCCCCCAAAACCGGTAATTCTCTTAAATCTAGGTGACTGAGACTTCCTCAAACACATTGATGGTTTAAAGCAGATACCTCCTAATTTAAAACTCCATACATTAAATCAGTTGATGAAGTCTTAATCACTGAGAAAATGCCAACAATTGTAACCTCAATTCAAATTTAAATTA